AAACCAAAACCCTAGAATGATTGAAAAGCTGCTGCAAAGAATGAGACACTGTGAAATGTTCCACAATCCATTCCTGTGAGTGCATAAGGCACCTCACATACATAATTACAGTGATCCATATAACAACTCTAAAATAGGTCTAATTGCCATCTAGCAAACTCATAGCAGAGGCATGATCTCAACTGGAAGTTTCTGGGTTTACAATGCAGTCTTTTAGGCTGCAAACATATATGTGCATTTATCCAAAAGTAAAACCCATTGAGCTTAATAGGACTTACTTTGAAGTAGACAAGTACAAGATTGCATTTTTAATCACCACGCTGAAATGCATATATTGTACATAAATACTGTTTCAATGGATAAATGTTTTGAAAGTCCTGTCCTAGCTGCTAGTCTATTTACAAGTACAATTCAGAGAGCTCATTCTAGCATGTGACAACAATTGATATAAGTACACTATACATGCAATTTGACACCATTTGAACTGCCATGGATATAGACTTATAGTGCACCAACATTTTTAGCAGAGATGGTTGAAGACCTTGTAAAACTACATATTCCGAGATTCTATAGCATTGAGCCATGGCAGTTTAAGTGGTGTCAAACTGCTTTATTGTGACAGTATAGATGCACCCTTAAGCCCCTTCCACACAGCTGAATAAAATCCCACATTTTCTGCTTTGAACTGCTACCTCAACGCTTTTGATAATAGTATTCCCCAGTCCCCATTTATTTGATTTTGGCACTTTCCATGGGCTCCTTTCAGGATTTATTGCACTCATTGAGCCTGAATCTCAGCTATGCTCCTTTATTTCAGCCATATTGTTTTTGATGTTGTTACGACTATGTTTGCTTTATATTTTATCTGATTATTTTAATTGTCTTTGTTTTTATCTGTAATTTTTGGGCTTGTCCCTTGTAAGTCCCCTAGGGGAGATGGTTGGCGGGGTATTATTATTATTATTATTATTATTATTATTATTATTATTAGAAGCACAACAAGATGAGTCCACAGCAAACAAGATCACTCTGCTGGCTGTTGTATTGGATCACATGTCAGACACTTCCCAATAGTAATTATTATTGTTATTACTATTATTATTATAACTGGAATATATGGCGGTGTGGACTCAGATAACCAAGTTCAAAGCAGATATTGTGGGATTTTCTGCCTTGATATTCTGGGATATAGGGCTGTGTGGAAGAGCCCTTAGACAGCTAAGGATCCAGACCATTAATATCAATTAGAAAGTGCTCTACCTTCTGAAGCGAAGTAGGTAGATATTGGATATTATAGTATCTCATTTGTAACACTTCCTCCCCAGAGATGTTTGCTTGGTGCTGATTATCTCCTCCTTTCACCAACAGATGAGGCTGGATCTACATAGCCATATAATCCAGATTATCAAAGCAGATAAATCCACATTATCTGCTTTGGACTGGATTATATGAGTCTACACTATCATATAATCCAGTTTAAAGCGGATTCTCTGGATTTTATATGGCAGTGTAGAAGTAGCCTGTGAGACCAAAGGGTTCAGAGAGAGTTGACTTTGGAATATGGGAGTTGTAGTTCACCCTTATCCAGAGAGCACTGAACCAAGACAACGATGGATCTGGAGCAAATTTGGCACACAGGCCCAACAGGGCCAACTGTGAATACTGGTGGAGTTTGGGGAGGATTGATCCATGATTTTGGGAATTGTAGTTCACCCACCTCCTTATGCATTTTCAAATGACAGCATTCGTTAAAAAAAAGCAGAGATTGGCTTCTTTCTAATAGCATTAAAACTTACCTAAGTGATATTACCTAACATTCAAAAATGAACAATGCCTTTTTGAAACAACCCGAGCATTGCTAGTATATTATATAAGAGCCAAGATCAAAACATCACAGTCCTCAGAAGAAACAGATTTCCTGTCCTATTTGGACACCACAAAGTTGAATTCAACAATGATATGCACACTCATACACATACATAGTGTGAGTGTATGTTCTTCAATCTTAATTCCATTCCTTAAAACTGATCCAAAAATGAGTGTTGGACTATGACTCTGGAAACTTGGCTATGGAAACCCACTGGTGACCTTGAGCAAGTCACACTCTCTCAGCCTCAAAGGAAGGCAAAGGTCACACATTTTCCAAGAAGTCCCCTTGATAGTGTTGTCACTGAACACAAAACAGCAACAAACGCCATGCCCATTTGACAAAAACACTGAATTCCACAGAACTAGTATTGTGAGTGCCATCGACCAACAGATCAAACGTTTTGTCTCACTGTGCAATTGAAAAGGGCTTAATAATAATTACCAGACCATTAATCACATTGAGGTCACTTCTTCCCAAGACTAATCGATCCCTACTCTACTGGGGGTCTGTTTATAAGCAAACAAGCTTTGGGTCAGACTGCTTTTGGTTGAAGTGATGCCATTACTCAACGGGCGAGAAGGATGGTGCGACTTATGGTGGCTCCATTAATGTAACAGGGTTTTATTTGGGGCCCTTCTATACTGCCATATGATCCAGATTATCCAAGTAGATAATCCACAATATCTGCTTTGAACTGGCTTATCTGAGGGCCCTTCCACATATCCTTATATCCCAGAATATCAAGGCAGGAAATCCCACATTATCTGAGTGTGGATTCTGATAACCCAGTTCAAAACAGATATTGTGGGATTTTCTGCCTTCATATTCTGGGTTATAATCTGGGCCGTGTGGAAGGGCCCTGAGCCTATACTGCCATATATTCCAGTTCAAAGCAGAAAATGTGGGATTTCATTCGGGTGTGGAAGGGGCCTTCCAAACAGCCATCTAGCCCAGAATATCAAGGCAGAAAATCCCAGAATATCTGCTTTGAACTGGGTTATCTGAGTCCACATTCAGGTAATGTGGGATTTTCTGCCTTGATATTCTGGGATATAGTGCTGTACAGAAAGGCCTTGAGTCCACACTGCCATATATTCCTGTTCAAAGCAGGTAATGTGGGATTTTATTCAGTTGTGTAGAAGGGGCCTTAGACAAGGAATATTAAGAGATGGTGTTGGCAACTCCTTCCACTGAAAGACAGCCTGGTATTTGTTGCCCGTCTCCCATCCAAGCCTTAACCAGGGATAAGCCATCTTATCTTCCAAGATCAGGTGGGATCTGGTCCCTTACAATAGAATCAGAATCCCCTTTGAACTTTGATGGAATTTGAGCCCATATAGAATCCAGATTATCTGCTTTGAACTGTATTGGATGACAGTGTAAACTCATATAATCCAGTTCAAAGCAGATGTGGATTGTCTGCTTTGATAATCTGGATTATAAAGCAGGGTAGAAGAGGCCTCAGTCTGACAATATGCCAGTGTTTCCTAAAACTCTGGTCCTCCCAGTGCTTGGACTTCAACTCCCAGAATCCCCGAACAAGCTGGCTGGGGATTCTGGGAGTTGAAGTCCCAAACCTTGCAGGCCTAAAGGCTGGGAATCACTGCAGGAGGCCGACAGCATTGGGATCAAAACAACTGCAGAAGAGAATAGCTTCAGTCTGGTTATTTCCACACAGTCCTATATCCCAGAATATCAAGGCCGAAAATCCCACCATATCTGCTTTGGACTTGGTCATCTGTGTCCACACTCAAAAAATGTGGGATTTTCTGCCTTGATATTCTGGAATATAGGGCTGTGTGGAAGGGTGAAGTTTGACACCACTTTAACTATCATGGCTAGGCCCTGTCTATACTGCCATATAAAATCCAGATTATCTGCTTTGAACTGGATTATATGGTAGGGTAGATTCAGGCCTCTTCCACACAGCTGAATAAAATCCCACATTGTCTGTTTTGAACTGGAATATATGGCAATGTGGACTCAGATAACCCAGTTCAAAGCAGATATTGTGGGATTTTCCATCTTGATATTCTGGGATATAGGGCTGTGTGGAAGGGCCAACAGATAACCCAGTTCAAAGCAGACATTGTGGGTTATTCTGCTTTGATGTTCTGGGTTATAGGCTGTGTGGAAGGGTCCTGGGATATTGGGCAGTGTAGATCCAGCCTAATAATAACAATAACAACAACAACAACAACAATAATAATAAGTCCTGACCTAAACACTTGGGAAGTGTCCTATGTGTGATCCAATTCAACAGCCAGCAGAGTGTCTAATGAGGACTCATCTTGTTGTGTTTCAAATAATAATAATAATAATAATAATAATAATAATAATAATAATATAATGATAATAATAGGTAAAGGTTTTCCCTTGACGTTAGGGCCTCTTCCACACAGCTGAACCAAATCCCACATTATTCGCTTTTAACTGGTATATGTGCCAGTATGGACTCAGATAACTCAGTTCAAAGCAGATATAGTGGGATTTTCTTGATATTATGGGATATATGGCTGTGTGGAAGGGCCCTATGAAAGAGCTTCTTCTGAATTCCACCCTTGGAAGAGATACACGTCTACACTGCCATATAAAATCCAGTTTATCAAAGCAGGCCACACACATGATCTGCTTTGAACTGGATTATATGAGTCTACACTGCCATATAATCCAGTTCAAGGCAGATATGATCGGGATGGTATACTTTGATACTCTATATTATATAGCAGTGTAGCTCCAGCCTCAGTGCTACAGACTCCTGGGGATTATTGTTTGGAGGGAAGGCTAAAAGGGCCTTGCAGAACTACAGCTCCCATAGTATGGAGTTAAAGCGGTGTCAAACTGCATTAGAGTGTAGAAGATGCACCTAGAAGGGACCGTGGGGGCTGGTTTTGGACTCAATAAGGATAGTTTCAAAAAATGTCCCCAAATCTTTGGAATCGTTTGGAAATACTCCTTGCCCAAGATGATGACCCTGCTCCAGCCTTGCGCCATGGCGGGGCGAGGGACGCCCCTTTCCTAAACCCTTTCCAACAACTTGGCCGCAGATCGGGACTCCCTCCAAGGCTGTTTCCCCTCCACCCCCGGCTCCTTCCCAAATCCGAAGGGTCTCCCCCAAATCCAGACTTACCACCCCCAAAACACCAGAGTTTCACCAGCGGCGAGGCAGCCTCTCAATTGCACTGCGTTGCCGGTAGGCGCGCTTGGCTTCCCGCCCACAAAAGGGGCGGGGCGCCGGGGAAGGAGCGGATTGGCTCCAGCGGGCACGTCACCTGCCACTCATCGCCCTTCCCGCCCGAGATGCAAATTAGCTACATAATAACACAGTTTGGTCATGCCTGGTGTAGAAGCATCCAAAGATAAGCAAAAAAGATGCAAGTTAGTTGTACATAACACAGTTTGCTCATGCCTGGTGTAGACGCATCCTAAGATAGATAGCAACATTGGAAAAAATGTTCTGTTCCTGGTTTGAAAGTCTCATTTCCTGTTTATTTGTGTGGCACTTACTTTGAAAGTAGTTGTTCTACTCCAGAAACTTTGTTTTTGTAGTTGCCATAAACTAGGTTGAATTGGTTAGGACTCAGTGAGATACTCATTGAAAAACTATAGCAAAAAGTACTTAAAGTTTTCACAGTGTAATGAACTTTCCGCATGTTTTTATGATAGAACCAATTAGGAACCAATTAAGAAATTACATTTATAACCTAGGAACAAGAATCGTGCAATCTGGATTTTATATGGCAGTGTAGATGTTGTTGTTCTTTCATTCAGTCGTTTCCGACTCTTTGTGACCTCATGGACCAGCCCACACCAGAGCTCCCTGTCGGCCGTCACCTCCCCCAACTCCTTCAGAATCAAGCCAGTCACTTCAAGGACGCCACCCATCCATCTTGCCCTTGCTCGGCCCCTCTTCCTTTTTCCTTCCATTTTCCCCAGCATCATTGTCTTCTCTAAGCTTTCCTGTCTCCTCAAGATGTGGCCAAAGTACTTAATCTTTGCCTCTACTATCCTTCCCTCCAATGAGCAGTCGGGCTTTATTTCCTGAAGTATGAACTGGTTGGATCTTCTTGCGATCCAAGACACTCTCACAACTTTCCTCCAGCACCACAGTTCAAAAGAATCTATCTTCCTTCGCTCAGCCTTCCCTATGATGAGGCTTTAGAATGAGCCAATAAACTCCTCTGGTGTCTGTGGGCCCTGTTGCACTCCAGAACAGGAATAACCCTTTGTCTTTAAAACACCACACTTTGTGTAGGAAAACAATCCTTTTTTATTGAAGATAAGTAAAAGCAGAAAGGTAAAAAAAAAACACTTTAAGAGAATAGGTAAATCCAATTAGATATGAAGTTAAGCAGGAACAAATATTCCAAGGTAGGGTTCAGCAAAGTTCAAAACAAAGTCCAGACTTCTCTTAATAAAATCCAAAGAACCAGGAAAACATTTATCCGAAGCATGAGTACATAATCACAAGAGATAAAGAGTCAAACCATAAACAAGAAATCCTTAAACATGAATCTTCCAAGCAAGGCTTCCATAAGACAAGAGCAAGAACTTAGCAGGATTCTAAAATGATGCTTCATCTGACTATTTCCCACGGTTGGAACATTATATCTCCTCGTTAAGCCATTCCAAGCACTCAGAAATTGGTTTAGTTTCCCCTGAATGTGCTCATCCTTATCTCTCGAAGTCTGGCAGCACGGCGAAGGCCTTGGCCAAGCTGTCTTTTTTTTTTTTTGCTAGTTTCCACCCGCTTATCTATCTGCTCATTAGTTTCTCCAGGTGCCAAGTTGTTTTCAAGCCCCAAATCCTGGGAACTCCCTGGGAGCAATTCAGAGAGTAAACTATCATCCCTATACCCTGTAGGAACATTCTCATGGAAAACTACACTTTGAACCAGTGTCACTATGTCATTCTCTGCATTAATATCATTGACCAGACCATCGCCATCTTGACTCTCATTGACATCATTTCCCACATCTAAAGCACCTTGATCTTGAAACACAATCACAGGCTGTACTCCAACAGACCCTTCCACACAGCCATCTAACACAGAATATTGTGGCATAATGTTAAATAAATCACAAGTAGTTCACGTTTCATCAGTCCACACAGATTATCAACAAAAGAACAAGTAGTTTACTCTTCGTAATTCAGAACAACATATTTACAATCATGTGATCAGTTGCATCGACTCACATACTGTCCTTAAATGAGAGGTTTAAAATGGTCTTTATTTGTTCATGTGGAGAATTTTCCTCCAGCAGTTTAAGAAGCAAGAGCACACTCCAGAATTCTCTCTCTCTCTCTGCTTCTCTGCAAGCATTTGCATAGCTCAAGCCTGAAAATGTAACAGTATCCAAAAGTCCCAGGCTCAGCCAGCTTCCCGGGCGTAGCCCGACCAATCATCAATCAACCAAGCAAGGCAGAAAATCCTACAATATCTATTTCAAACTGGATTATCGAGTCAATACTGCCATATAATCCAGTTCAGTGTGGATTTTATATAGCTCTTTGGAAGGGGCCTCAGATAAACCAGCTCAGAGCAGATATAATGTGGACTATCTGCTTTGATCATTTGGATTATATGGCAGTGTAGAAGGGGCCTTGGTGGACAGAGTGGAAAAAACTGCATTTGTGTTAAATAATCCACAATACAGTGAGGGCTGCAGTGTTATTTGTAAGCCCCATTACCTTGCAATCATTGAAAAAAACAACAGGGGTAAGAAATGCAAACAGTATTTTTTGTTCAGCCTCCTAAATGTTATATATGACCATTTTCTTTATACAGGGTATATGGAGATGCTGAATTTGATTCCACACTTGATAAAAATTGCCAATAGTAAGAAAAAATGTAGGAATTCTTTTGAGCCTGTAAGCTATTTTCTGGACATCATTTATTGTACCTGGAAAATCACAGTGACATGAGAGCCACTGAATGAATGTACAGTGTTTTGTTAACTGCAAAATTTCCGCTGAGATCAACAGCGATAAGGACAGGATTTAGCAGAGTAGCGGAATTTTCCTTCCCACAATGACTCATATATGAACATGTGCTTTATGGCTTTTCAGCAATGGTTGAATACTGCATGTATGAAATGTTAATATTATTCTTAGAGTTCATTCTGTTTTAGTCCTGCAAAGGAGGAAAGGTGAGGTAAAAACACCTATAAGTTTTAAGGGAGGATATTAATAATAATAATAATAATAATAATAATAATAATAATAATGGTTATTGGAGTATGTATTTAATCGGAAAAGCAATTGATAACCCTGAAACTCAGGCGCCTTCTACACTGCCATATAATCTGGATTATCAAATCAAATAATCCACATTGCTTTGAACTGGATTATATGAGTCTACCCTGCCATATAATCCAGTTCAAAGCAGATTTTATCTGGATTTTATATGGCAGTGTAGATGGGGCAATATGGAAGATTCTCAGATCCCTTCTACACCACCATATAATCCAGATTATCAAAACAAATAATCCACATTGTCTGCTTTGAACTGAATTGATTACTTACTTATTTACTTAGGCAATCCTTCGTTGGCCGAGTAGGATAGTCATCTAGGATCAATATTCTTGTGGATCCGTAGGTGACTGTGGAGCCCTATTCTTGACCTGCATCTTCTCCCGCAGTGAGGACATTGGTTTCCATGTGGAAGGCGGTCTCAGTCAGGGTTGGCTTGATGTGCCTTCCTCTTGGTATGTTTCTCTCTTTCACCCTCCATTCGTGCCGCTTCAAATTCTGCAGCACTGCTGGTCACAGCTGACCTCCAGCTGGAACCCTCAAGGGCCAGGGCTTCCCAGTTCTCAGTGTCTATGCTAGAGTTTTTAAGGTTAGCTTTGAGCCTGTCTTTAAATCTCTTTTCCTGTCCACCAACATTCCGTTTTCCGTTCTTGAGTTCGGAGCAGAGCAACTGCTTTGGGAGACGGTGGTCGGGCATCCAGACATCCAGCGGAGTTGGTGGCGGAGGACCATTGCTTCGATGCTGATGGTCTTTGCTTCTTCCAGCATGCTGACATTTGTCCACCTGTCTTCTCAAGAGATTTGCAGGATTTTCCAGAGGCAGCGCTGATGGAATCATTCCAGGAGTTGCATGTGACGTCTATAGATAATCCACGTTTCGCAGGCATATAGCAGGGTTGGGAGAACAATAGCTTTATAACCAAGCACCTTGGTATCCCTACGGATGTCCTGGTCTTCAAACACTCTCTGCTTCATTCAGAAAAATGTTGCACTCGCAGAGCTCAAGCGGTGTTGTATTTCGGTGTTGATGTTGACTTTGGTGGAGAGGTAGCTGCCAATCTGGATTTTATATGTCAGTATAGAAGGGGCCTCACCACAGTCAATTTAGGCATCTTCTACCCTGCCATATAATCCAGATTATCAAAGCAGAAATCCACATTTTCTGCTTTGAACTGGATTATTTGAGTCTACACTGCTATATAATCCAGTTCAAAGCGGATAATCTGGATTTTAAAAGGCAGAGTAGAAGGGGCCTCAATGACTTTTCCAACTGGTCAGGGATTAATTCATTTTTGAGTGGAAGGCTTTATTATTGGCCAGGAAGGATGGTCCCTGGGTGATTATGCCAACTGCCTGGAGAGATAATGGGATTAGGCCAGGGTTCCCCAGGGTTGGTGCTTGTGTAACTGTGTACTTGGGTCAAAGGTTGTCTTTGGATGTCAGATGGGCTGCATTTTTGGGGGGGAAAGTTAATCCTGAGATGTCAGCCAGTCGGACCCCTCATGGCATCTTTCTTGGCCATGGGTTTTGGGGTCTTTTGGGGGTCTCAGGTTTCAATAACATGCCCTCTAGTACCTCTTCACCAGGACCATCACCCTGTCATGGTGATCGGGCTTGTGTGTTCCAGTTAATCTATGGATTAAGCCGTTGGGGGTCATGTACTGGTCAGCATCCAGCAGAAGTCAACCACAGAACCATGCTGGATGACCAAGGGAAGATCAACTGCAGAATTCCTGCATTTTGGAACCAAATGGTTCAATACTATGTAATCATGGGAGTTGTCATGTTACAAGGTCTTTAGCCTTCTCTGTCAAAGACTTTTGGGGCCTCATCAAACTACAATCTCAGGATTTCAAAGCATTGTGCCTTGGAAGTTAGTGGTATCAAACTGCATTAATTCTATAGTGTGTAGACACAGCAGTATAGACCGATCTATTTCAGTTCAAAGCGGATA